AAAAGAGGAGGAGCAGCAGAAGGATCTACCTCTTCCATTAAATCACTAAGTCACTGGCTAGAATTTAATCTCATGAGTATGACCTGCTGTGATGGAGGTGGGAAAGTTAGGAAATGTAATCTTCATCCCAGGCAGCCATATGCTTACAAAGTATTGGGGATTCTTTACTGTCAAAGAGAGGGAAAACAGGCATTAGCCCAGACAACTAGCCATCTCAGCCACACATCCTTATGAGATTTAAATGAGACATTGCAGGTGGAGGGGTGAGCACAGTGTTGGGAGCACTCAACTATCATTGTCATTGTCATTGTCATCATCATGATGAGAAAGTGAGGAATACTCTGTAACTATGACGAGAAGTTGTGTTATTTTAACTTCATCTTACTGAGAGTGTCACCCTTGGTTACCTTCCTCTTTGACAATTTGAGTTCCATCTTTTATGCTACCTGTAAACATGCCCTCATGAAATAAAACGATATAAAAAGGAAAGCAAAGGAAAAGTGAACAGAGAATTCAGAATGATGGGGTCTCGGGTCAGGGAAACAGAGGGGTTGGAGGCGTATATGGAGGAATCATCTAGTTAGATGCATGATATTGTCAAAGTCATAGTTTTTATTTGGGGTAGTGGATTCACAATGGACTGTTTAGTTAATAATTATTAACTAAATAAAAATGGAGCTTTGTGGACCAATGATCCAATGATGAGGGTGGGCCATGCATTGAAGATTATAATGAATCCAATTCTAAGTACCTGAGGTCCTTAAATTGTCTTTATGTGTACTATAGTTCATGGCATATGCGTTTGAGTGTTAATAGTAGACAAATAGCATAGTCTATTTGCATAGACTTTCAACTTTTGAAGTGCTTTTACACAACCATAAAAACTGTTTATTAAGTAGTTCATTACAGATGGCATTACACATGGGACTTTGGACCTTTTCTGTGTCCTGTGGGATAATATTGTGTTTTATCCTTATGATGACCCTACAAAGTAGGCAAGACAGATGTTATTGTCACTATGAGACGAGAAAGTAGGAAATGAAGGAGAAAGGGACTTGCATGAAGTTACATAGCGAGTCAGTGTTGGGATGGAGCTTAAAACTTTGGCTCTTTTGCCTAGTGCGCTGTTGTCTTTCGCTTATCTCACTCCTCAGTAATTCACCTCCTAGGCATTTATTCTCTTACATGCCAGGCACACTGTGTTTGTGTGCCGTGTTCATATATGTGTGAGTGTTTTGGTGCTATGTGTGTAGTTTATGTAATCTCTATGCACTGTGTATATACACTGGGAGTCCTTGTATGCCCCCTAGGTCCTATTCAGCCCTGGAACTCCAGAAGAAAGTCCAGGTGGAGTTTTAATGTTCCTGTTTTTCGTAGTTCATCAGGCTTCACTGTCTCCCTACAGGTCCAGCTAGGTAGGAAGGCAGCTTTGATATCAGGGATGGATCCCTTGGTGGGGGCACAGAGCAGAGAAGCAAGCCAGCAATGTCTGAATAATGGGGATATTTCATATTTCATGGTAATTTATAGTTTATGATTTATGAAGTACTCTCATAAATACTATTTCAAAATTAATTCCCACTCAGCCCTGAAAGTAGATTTTATTATTTTTCTCCCTTTTTCAGATATGGAGAGAGTCTAAATGGCTTGTTCAAGGTAACTCAGCTGGAGGACAGACTTGGGTTCAGCTCATTTGTCTCTCCACTGTGCCTCGCTACCTCTGAAAAGGCAGAAGGAAGTTACTCTCTTTCTAGCTTTGTGGAGAGCAGGAATTACTTTAACGCCAAGCCAGAGGAAGCTCTCAGTGATTCTCTGTGAAGAAAAAAGGTCAACTCAGACCCTTGAGCAGCTCCAGCTCCAGGCCAGCGACCTCCATCCACCCAAAAAAGCACCTGAGCAGTTGGAATCTTCCAGCTTCTTAATCATGTGTACCTCTCATCATTGGGCATCTCCTGCTTGTGCTTCGGGAGATGATAGCACTAGTATAGCATTGTCATGGTATAAAGGTGCTTTCCAATCCCTGTGGCCTCAGGTAGCATTTTTGTCTTTGAAGAGTCAGGGGAATACTGGGAGCTATCTAACTCTAAGTAAATACTGCTTTAAAAAAGCAAATATGGCCAGTCAGGGTGGCTCAAACCTGTAATCCCAGCAATTTGGGCAGTCGAGGTAAGAGGATTGCCTGAGCTCGAGACCAGCCTGGGCAACTTGGTGAGACCTTGTCTCTCCAATAAGTTAAAAAAAAAAAAAAACTGGGCGTGGTAGCACATGCCTGTAGTTCTACCTACTTGGAAGGCTGAGGCGGAAGTATCACCTAAGTCCAGCAGGTGGAGGCTGCAGTGGCATGCCTGGGCGACAGAGTGAGACTTCAACTCCCCCCCACCTTCCAAAAAGCAAATATTCGTGTCAGGGGATCATTTCTCTCCTTGTTCATAGAGCGAGTCCTGTCTGCCCCAGAAAGGGACAGTGCTGGGAGGGTAATTCCTGCCCTTAACTCCATTCCTTCATTCCTGCCTCCATGCAGGAACAAGTGTCTTCTGGGAGAGGTGAACGAGGGAAGACCCACCTGGGCTCCGTCCCCAAGTGCCCCTTCCTTAGGTTGCTCTCTTTTCTCTGGAGTTTTGGGGGAAGACATCTAGGGGTCATGTGTGGCCATAGGTCAAGCCTCATTCTCTAATTTGGCCTTACCAATAATTAAGCTGAGTTTTTGTTGTTAACTGCCGGGTTCTAGTCTGAATTCTCAACTGCTTCACCAGTCAGAGGCAGGAGGTCGCAGGGAGGTTCTTGATGACCACCCCTATCTCCATCAGAATGTGTGTTGAGGCCCTTTGGCAGCTTATATTCAGGGCCTTTCCAAGTCCCTCCCTTGATCTGGGCTATGCTATGTTTCCAACTAGATCCTTGGGTCTGAGAGACATGAGCCTAACCTGGACTAGAATTTGTTCAAAAATATCCACTTCTTATGGTTGTAGATTCAGGGACTACTTTTCTCTATTGGAAGTCAGAATCCATTCTCCAGACTTTCCCCTTTTGTTACATTATCTCATTTGATTCTCTCCACAGTTCTATGAAAAGGAATTGCTGTTCTTCCCATGGAGAGAGAGAATGGTGCAAAGTTTGCTCAAGGTAAACAGCCAATCAGTGTTAAAGACTTGCTGGGAATTCAGGCATCTGAATCTCAACCCATCCTCTTCCTACCCTGTATCTTTTGTAGCCTGTTTACATGAAACCATGTCCAAAGGTATGTAATTACTAAAGTGGTCATGGTTACACAATAATAAAAATTTTTTTTTGAGTTGGAGTTTCACTCTGTCGCCCAGGCTGTAGTGCAGTGGCACACTCAGGGCCACTGCAGCCTTGACCTGCTGGGCTCTGGCGATCCTTCTGCCTCAGCCTTTCAAGTAGCCAGAACTACAGGTGCATCCTAACACACCAGCTAATTTTTTCAAAAAATTTATTGTGGAGATGAGGTCTCGCCAAGTTGTTCAGGCTGGTCTTGAGTTTGTGGGCTCAGGCAATCTACTCACCTCAGCCTCCCAAAGTGCTGGGATTACAGGCTGAGTAACCGAGCCCGGCCATAATAATAAATTTTTACAGAAAAAAAAAAAATTAGAAAAATGCGAGGCTGGGAGTGGTGGCTCACACCTGTGACCCCAGCACTTTGGGAGGCTGAGGCAGGAAGAACGTTTGAGTCCAGAATTCAGATTATCCTGAGCAACATAGCGAGATCTTGTCTCTACAAGACAATAATAATAATAAAAACTAGCTGGGCGTGGTGGCATGTACCTGTGGTCTCAGCTACTCAGGCAGCTGAGGCAGAAAGATGGCCTGAGTCCAGGGGGTAGAGACTGTGGTGAGCCATGATCCTGTTATTGTAACTCCAGCCTGGGTGAAAGACTGACTTTTCTTGAGACTGACAAAAAAAGGCTAAACTCGGAGGAAAATGTTCAAAAATGTGTATACATACATATGTGTATACATATACACACACACACACACACACACACATATATATATATAACCTCATTTTCAAAATTTTTACTTTTTAATTTCAATAGTTTGAGGGGGGTCAAAATATTTAATATGTATTTGCCTCTCACCTGTTCCTGAAATAAATGGCCTCCTCTGTAGCTCCAGCTCACCTCTGATGTCTTACCTAGGTGGATCCTTACCAGTCTCCTTCAAAATACACCCCTTCTCCCAATTCGCTGTGCTAGGGACCCAGCAAAGTGGAGAGGAGTGGATTTTCTATCTGAATTATGCAGCTACTTCTACACGCCTCCCCTTTTTCTCTGCGTGGCCTAGAAGAACTCGGATTTCTTCGATCCCTCTTCCCCGTCCCGTAGGCTGCAGCCTCCAAACCCCGCCCCGCCCTCCACGCTCCCGGCGCCTTGCGTCCTCCCCTTTAAGGCC